ATTATTGAAACTGTCCTACCAATTTGATTTGAAACAGTCTCATTGCTATTTATCAATAAAATTATGGCAAAAAAATAAATAAATATTGTAGGTGTTTAAAAAAAAAAGAAACTGTCCTACCAATTTGGTTTGAAACTGTCTCATTGCTATTTCTCAATAAAATTATGGAAAAAAATAAAATAAAATCATCGTATGTTGTAAGGATGGTTTTCTTAGTTGAACACATACGTGGTGCCTCCTTACCTGAGAAATATTTGCAGCAGATTTTCACTGTACCTCGTAATTGTGTCTAGCCTTTACTCTTCAGTGTTTTTCTTGCTGAAAGATATTGCTGAGGTATTGTGCAGATGTATACCGAAATACTCAAATATTTATAAAATACTTATATTCGCTTGAAGATCCTATAAATCACCATGGGGAAAAGATATATCAAAATAAATGGAAGTCACTTCAGAAACAAATGTAAATCCATTTCATTTAAATAAATTGTTTAAAGCAAAATAAATATTTAAAAAATATTCTGGCACTTTGCAGGATTGGGACATTTATCCTACCTCCTTTGAATACAGATGTCTCTGGAGGACAGAGACAAAGGCAAGTTCTTCTTTCAGTTGGAAGGTTTGTGAGGAACTGGCTTATGGAAAGAAAATGTAAAACCAGCCCTCTACCTTCTGTTTCACTTTGACTGTGCTTCCTGTAATACCTGATTATTAGCAATTTAACAGCAAATGTCTGCAGAAAAAAATATCCTCTCCCAGTGCTACTCCTAGGTGTTCTTGGAATGGAAAAAAAAATCACTAACTTGGGATCAAAAAAAGGGGGGAGGAAATGAGCCAGAACAATTTCAGTGCTTGCCCACCATGTATGTGTCATGCCCCCAGAAGCTCTCACCTCATGAGTGCCAGAACTAGGCCTCAACCCTACACTCACCAACTTTAAAGTCTATTTACCTCCCAAATTGTCTCACTTATCATTCAAATGTGTATGCTCAATATTCTTTTTTAAAGAGACTAAAAAATAGCAAAAAAAAAAAAAAAAATAGAAAGGATACAGAATTTCACTAAACAAAATGATAGGAATTCAGCAATAGTTGTTGTATTTCACAGTTGTCTTCAAATTGGTTGTTCGTTATTATGTACACATTGGTTTTCCCTCAAACTTCTATCTCAATAGATCAGTTAAACTACATCAGCTTTATTGAAATCCCTTATGTATTTCAGTTTTTATTTTGAAGCACCAATTCTAAAATATAAGTTATATAAAACATCTTTTTAAAAAAGCTTTGCACAAAACAAAAAAAAAGCATTGTTTTAGAAAAGATGTTAAAATTTTATTGTATACATGCTGCCACCTGGTGGTGAAATATGTTTACAAGTAAGATTCTGAGGACCCAACTGAGACCTGCTGATTCTGAATCTCTCCTTTACTAGTGTTTTAGAGGTTCAACCCCAAAGAGAAGCTTCCATCAAACATCACTTTCTGTGCAGGTTTTTGTTTCATTATTTCAAATAGTTACAATTATATTGCATAGACAACTGCATAGCCCTTTTTATTTAATGTTATTTTTTGAGCTAAAAATCACCCAACACTTGGTCTCAACCATAAACATGGAATATTAATTGTTCTTTTCATTTGCTTTTGTTATAGAATTCATGGCTTAAAAACAGGAAAAACCCATTCCGTGGTCATTCCTCCTTTGTTAATGAAGCAACATTTACACAAGATGGACATTATTAGTGCATCCTCTGATGGCACCGTAAAGGTGAAGTATTTTCTACTGGCCCATTTGTGATGTCTTTTTTATCTTTGACCTTTGAGATTACAGTAGTGCTAACAGTGACAATTATGGCAGAGTAAATGTTTTTGCTACTAAGTTGGGTCTGACATAAGATTAATATTCTCTAATCTGTTGGTTGTATCAACCAACAAATGTCAAATGTATATAATCCAAACACTTTACCATGAGTAGAGAAGTAGAAAATGGGCAAAGTCCGAAACATACATGTCCGCCCCCCATACAGTGCTTAAATCCTACTGGCCATAAATATGGCCTACTCATAGCCAAATCCACAACAGATTCAGTGGCCAAATAAATCTTTTTGTTGGTTTTACCTCACACTGGACCCTGAAATTAAGACCATCCTAGGAGTTTTTATAGAGGAATAGGGCAGTTACAAACTAAGCTTGGTTGCCTACTGCTTTCAGCTCTCACCTGAAAGTAATGGGTTGTATCTTAAAGGATTTGAGAACCACTTGGAATCACGTAATAGTTTGGTACCAATGAACAATTTAAGCTATGTTGGCTTTTCAGACACTTGCTTAACCTATAGCTCTATAGAATATCTTTTTGGTGTTTTGAAGTTACTTCTCTTCCCCAGGGTATTTATATATTATGCTCTATTAGGTCCTTTGGATAAAGGAGGCTCCGATCTATTTTCAAGCCTTCAGTAGAACCTCACTTTTGATTTTAAGATAATAGCTTGTTTCTGCTAACAGATACAGGGCAGTATCGATTACCAGTTGAGGACATTTAGCTCCCACAGGAGTTAAAGTGGAACACAAATGGGAAAGGGGAGGACTTATTTTATTTTTGGCTGGCTCAGGATGCCTTAAGGGCAGGTTTGGTGAGGCATGAGGAGGATCTGGGGATCAAACCACAGTATCCTGAGACTGACTACATTTGCTTAAACAGGCACTTAAACAACTGAGCTAACTGGCAGGCCCCCTTGAATGGAAGAGAGGGAACAGTGTCCTCAGAGTGTGTTCATAATCAGGACACCTGTAAGTTTGATAAGCAGTCTCACTTCCGTGGAGTGTGAGGTAGCACTGGGAAATTAGGAACATCAAGGCTGAGGTTTCAAGTTCTGAGCATGTGGCATAGTGTTGTTGAAGCGTGGACCTTGGCCCTTGGAGAAAACTTCGGGCTGGTGTGGCATACTGCATCTTCACTGGTAAGTCCCATGACTAAAGAAGTGGTAGTTTGGAACCCACAGCTGAGAAGGCTGGTCTTCAGTACTTACCACATCAGCATATAGTAGCCATAGCTTCCTAGTGCATCTGCTGGGCACACTTATAATGCTCTGCTTGACTTATTCAAGACTTTATTTCCTAAAAATGTCTTTCCTTTTGTTTTGTGTTTTAAATTTTTTTAGAAAATAATTTTATATTCACATTGAAGTTGCAAGAACAGTGCAGAGTAGTCCTATGTACCCTTCTAGCTTCTCCCAATGGTAACATGTTAAACATAATTATCAAAAGCAGGAAATTGATCTACAAACTGCAGTACAGGCTTTCAGGATAAATCCTGAGGGGATTTGACTGACCTTGTCAGATACAAAAGTTACATTTCTTGTTATATAAGTCTTGCTTTATCTTGGTCTTAACAATCCAGCAAAAAAGTATAAAAACGAGGTACAAAAAGCCATATTAATATGCTGAGCTGTAAAAGGCTCAAGTTAACAACTTCTGACATTGCCAGTCCTACAGATAACCCACTATTATGGACTACAAGACTATATTGGAATATTTTGCTGAATTCATACACCTACAATATTTAAATGACAATGGAATACCCTTCTCTGACAAAACGAAACAAAAAAGGGGGGATACAAATGAACGACTATTTTGTATCAGTATATTCAAAATAGGGCCGATTGTTGCGGGTGTGAGGCCGGTTGTTGGGTGTGAAGGCTTCAAGGTTATTTCGCGGAGCTGGAGCGCTGGCCGCGCAGGCCCTGAGGGCCCGCGGCCCTCTTGGGCTGGCTGCCGTCCGCTCTATAGCTTCTGGAGGTGGTATCCCTACTGAGGAGAAGCAGGTGACTGGCCTGGAGAGAGAGATCATGCTGGCGGCCCAGAAGGGACTGGACCCGTACAATATACTAGCCCCAAAGGGGGCTTCAGGCACCAAGGAAGACCCTAATTTAGTCCCGTCCATCACCAACAAGCGAATAGTGGGCTGCATCTGTGAAGAGGACAACAGCGCTGTCATCTGGTTTTGGCTGCACAAAGGCGAGGCTCAGCGGTGCCCAAGCTGTGGAGCCTATTACAAGCTGGTGCCTCACCAGCTGGCCCACTGACCACCCCCCCCACGGACTCCCTCGAACGTGCTGTAAAGTCTCTTTCCAATAAAGACGAGCTGGGTATCAGCTCCTTCCCTCGGGGGGGAAAAAAAAAACAGGATAGATATACAGCTACTTTCTCTTATTTCAATGAATAGAAAGATTTGTACTAACAGTGTTTGTGGACAGGATATCATGTCTGCATCTTGTACTATGAATAACCACTAAGACAATATGCAATGTATTAATTATTGAAACTGTCCTACTAATCAGTTGTTGGTTTTTTGGTTTTTTGGGGTTTTTTTTTGTTTTGGGGTTTTTTGAGATACCAGGGATTGAACTCAAGGCCTTGCACTTGCGAGTCAAGCACTTATTCTACTGAGCTATTTCCCTGGCCCTACTAATTGGTTTTGAAGCTGTTTCATTGCTATTTGTTTCTCAATAAAATTATTTTTTAAAAAGTAGGTAATTGACAGTACAACACTGTTAACTCATTTACAAATCGTATTTGAACTCTGCCAGTGTTTCCATGCATATTTTTAAGGCAGGAATATAATAGTCCTGTGATGTTTTATCACATATATAAATTCACGTAATCACAACAGTACTCATGCAGAACTATTTCATCCCATGAAAAACTTTCTCATCCTGTATTTTTATAATCCCACTTAACCACAGCTCCAACTCCAGGAAGCCACTTATTTTAATAAACTGGTGTTACCTGATTATAAGGTAGTCATAAAAGGTAGCCCCTAATGGAGGAAATAGTATGAATTGATACCACAAACATGCCTACTTGCTTTTGGTCCACCTTCTCACACCAGTACTCCCTACATCTTGGGATGACTCCTCCAAATCAAAATGTAATATAGTAATAAATCTGGCTAAAATAAGGACAAAATAGTAAATTTTTTCTGGCGATAAAAAATAGCCCACATGGGAAAGATTATGAGACATAGACAATTTCTTATGAGACATATACAAATCAATTTCTCACTTCCTATTTCTTGCGCTTCCAAGTCATTATTCACATTTTCTTCTAAAAATATCTGTTTTTCAAGGTCACTGAGTAGCCAGGCTAAACAAAGGATACACACAGTCACCTCACTCAAATTTTCCCTCATAACATCTCACATATTACACTGTCTGATACAGTCTGTCCTCGGTTACAGTTTCTAATTATTCATTTTTACTTTAAAATGCTAAACTATATAACATTGTTAATAAGGTGGAAATTAAATTTAATATTCTTGTAATATCTACTTTTAGAAGTCACACTGAGAGAAACTTATCTGAAGTTTGATTAAATATTCCGTAATTTTCAAGAGCATTGGCTGGAGCCTCAGTTAAGATCTCTGCCTGGAACTAACAGTATGCACTGCTACAAGCTGTCTTCAGTATAGTGGGTACTCCTAACATACTGGACTATGTATTGCCACTCCCACTGCTGAGACAGTCACGGTGCAGCTGATCTCTCTGTATAGATGACTGATTCTGCTTTCCCCTAAGCATTCATCCTCTTCTTTTGGTCATTCATCCTCCTGAAGATTGAACGTTTTTTAAATACATTATGAAGCATCTGCCAGCAGGGTTTCCAAGTACTTCAGATTCTGAGGATTTCCTCAGGTCTCAACACTCCTGTTGAGTGTGGAGGCTAAACTGGAACCAGCAGCCTGAAACTCCACCTCCAACCAGAAACACACACATCAAAGGGCTGAGAGAGGAGCACCAAGATCAAAAGGCATTCCAAAAACACCTGAAGGTGAGGTCTATCCCTAATAACCATTGTGACCCGACATGCTGAGCACCCCAAATGTAGTGATCTATTTTTCTAGAGATTTTAAAATCGAGGTTCACAGACCTAAGAGTCTATGGAAGCACTTTAGTGACTTACTAAATTCCTTGATAATATATAGAAAATATAAATATACATTATTCTATAAAGCAGGTTTCGTGGCTTTCAAAATATTTTTTTGAAATTTAATTTATGGTACCTTCTGAACTCTGTGAAAGTCTCCAAGTTAGAGTTGGGAGCAGAGAGGCAGTCCATTCTTACAGGTATGTCCTCAATCTCTGATATTCAGCCACATTCAGTGTATGACTGAATGCCAGATGCCAGCCTCTTGGAAACGTCCCTGAAACTGAATAGCTCTTTAACAATCATCTCAAGTATGATCTGGTCCCTGTAAGAATGTGAACCTCAAAAACTTGGGAGAAAGACCTCGAAAAGGAGAAAATGCTTTGCTGAGCGTAAGACTGGCAACATTCATCATAGGTCCCAGGCTAAGCCAATGGACTGATCTCTGGGCATAAAGTGGGAATAAAAGCTACTGAGCACATTGATCCAGACCTGAACCCCAAGCGCCCAGGATCATGGGAGCTCTGCTAACCCTCATAGAAAGTGCTAATTATTATAGTCAGGTACTCTCTTTCAACTAATATTTGAGGTCACCTTTAATCCTGACATAATCTTGACCCTAAATAGGGAAGAAAAGCCTGCAACTGGCCCAGACAGTCAACCAGACAATGGCATGTGTCCAGATAGGCCACAGCCAAATTTGAAAATTTTAGAAGTACAGAGTCCCTAGAAATCAAGGGTTCACTTATGTTTTAGTCCCAAATCATCCTCAATGTTTTAAAATCTCTACTCACAGGCATTAAAATTGTGACTCAGCAGTTCTAGGGTGGATTCCAAATGTTTATAATTTTTAGATTTTCTTTTTTTTTTGTTCCAATTATACATATACCCTATGTGTAGGGTATACCAAAAATAATTATGCATATATTCTATGCATAGGGTATATTTTTAGAATACTTCTGAGAGCCCTAAGGCATCAGATGCACATTGAGAAGTAGTAGGTAACATCTCCTTCTCAACTACCAGCAAAATAAAATCTCCCAGCTACCATTTATAGGGTCCTTCTCTACACTAGATACTTTGCTAAACCCTACATGGATTATTCTATTTAACCCTGACAGCCCAACTCTATTATGTTCAATTGCATATGTGAATACGCAGTTCAAAAAAAAATAAGTACTTTCCCCACAACTTCTCAGCTCTGAGCAGCAGACCCAGGGCTAGGACTGAGGTCTAAATCTAGATCTGCATGTTGGCCCCACACCCGGGACACGCTGAGATGGTGATTGAAACTGGGCGTGGTGGTGCATGCACCTGTAATCCCAGCACTTGGGCTATAAACAGGAGGATCAGTATGAGTCCCATCTATGTAGTGAGACCCTGTACTAAATACAGAAAATAATAATAATAACAACAGTAATAAATCGGCTCATCGCTTCTCGGCCTTTTGGCTAAGATCAAGTGTAATAAATCGGCTCAGTTGGGTTGAGGAAGAAGTAGACAGCCACTGAAAGAGAGGCTCAAAGACTCATCAGCCAGGCTGAAAGGTATAGGACCAAGCCAGAGAAAGAAAGCTATGGCTAGATGTACTGACAGGTACAGATTTACATTCCTCGAGTACAGAAGGGACAGTGGGCACATACAAAAGATGCTGAGTAATGAGAAATGGACAAGAAGGGCTTTAAAGAAAGCGGCTGGCCTTGGGGAAATCAGTAAGATGACTAGCACAAGCTCAAGGCACTGAGTTATATGATACCAGATGACTAACCTTATACTTTATATGTTGAAATGACAGGGAAAATAATGAATTTGATATGTCAGAACCAAGACCCTTTGGAGAACAGTATGATTAACAGGAATATTAGGTCCTCATTAGTTAAAGGGGCTTAAAAATAGCATCTATCTCACAGTTATGTACAGTAAAAAATGACATAAGATAATTAAAATGCTTAGCATAGCGAACATATAAGAATTGGTAAACAGCAGCTCTATAATCATTAATTACTACTAATTACTACTGTACCCAAGCTCAATAAGGAACCTCTGTGGCATTTTATTTGTTATAGACAACAAGTTCAAATGGGGTCCCTATGGACTGAGGTTTTTCTCCAGAGAAGTTAAGGGTTTTATTTTTGTTTAGAGCTCAAGGGTGAAAATCAAGGTCAGGAGAGGTGGTGTACAATTTAGTCCCAAGTTCTTTGGGAGGATAAGGCAAGAAGACACAAATTTAAGACTAGCTTAAGCAATTTTAAAAGACCTGTCTCAAAATAAAATTTTTTAAATGGCGAGGGCTCAGTGCTAGAGTGCTTATCTGTCATACATGAGGCCCTGCTTGGTTCAATCCCCAGGATCATACAGGGGAAAATTATTCCCAAATGTAACAACAACTTTATCTTTCCATTTCCCTTTAGTTTGAAACTGCCAAAAAATCAACTTGATGTAACTGTTCTACACATTTTCGTGCTTTACAACCAATCTTGTATTGTCAGCTGAACTTCAACTACTTTGGAGATGCCTCACACAAAGGCACTTTATTTCCAGACAACAGATCTGAACAGGCCATGACTTCTGACACTGGAACAAACCTCTACTTCAGAGTCTCACCTAACCCTACTGCTCACAGTAAAGGACTGCCTGCAACTAACTTCCTGAGAGGAACATGACCTTGGATAGTAAGGAAGGGACAGAATAAAACAAGCCAGTAAACCATGAAGGAGGTAAGAACACTGTTGCAAAACAGATTAAGCTCAAAGAACTTTAATCCCTCAGAGCCTTTAGGATAAGCAAGAGACCATACTAACCACTTTGACAAAAAGATGCCACATGCCTCTGAAGAAGGAAGATAAATACAAAGAACAAAAATATATAACCATAGCACTGTTTCTATATCCTGCACTATTAGGTAAGTCTGAATGTGGCTTTACTCCCCCTCCCTTTAGACCTGACAAGGGTCCTAGACATGGTGCTCAGGTATTCCCTGCTATCCTTATCAGCGAACACAGCCACGGAAAACTCAAATTCCAAATTTCTAATTCCTGAGTTATTTCCAGTCACCCTACATTATGGCCACTCAAGTATAAACTGAAAAAAAAAAAAAAAAAAAAAACACCAGCTGCATGTTTTAATTCAGGAAATGAGCAGACATTCACAAGCAGCCCCGCATGGATGCCAGCAGTTAACAGTCAACTGGCCATGTCTGTGACAGTAGTTCAGGCGCCACAGAATCACTTCGTCCAGTGCTGCCTGAGATGCTCTTTCAGCTGAGGCATGGAGGGCAGCAGCTGTTGGCACTCATGACAACGAAGGGGCAGCTTCAAGAGCTCAGATGTCCCTTCTCTGACAGTCACTCTGCCATTCTCTTGTACCATCTTGATCACAGCTTGTGATTCTAGGAAGTATTCGGTATTGAAAGAATTCCAATGTTTTTTGTTTTTCAGGCAAGGAGAATCAAAATCTTGACTGATTACATGAAGGTGTACATGGCTAATTGAAAGGAAAAAAAATGAATGTCAGACTCATTAAAAACTATGGCTTCACCAAAATGACAATCAAAATATGGGTGCACACAGTATTGCCAGTGTGTCTGTTTAATTCAGTGCATTTACCTAATAAGTAAAGAAAAATGGATGGATCTTGAGATGATAGCACTAAGTGAAGTCAGACACAGAAGATTAACTATAACTTGGATTCTATTTGAGAAACCCAAAATATAATTAAAAAGCAAAACAGAGGAGAGATAAGAAACGGAGATAGTTTTTTTTTTATGGAGGAGAAGGGGATGGGGGAGGAAGAATAATGAGGGGTCCAGGGGCCAAAAATGCACATATATCATTTTCCAAAAAAGCTGAACATAATTATTATGTGTCAGAAACACAAGCCAATAAAAAAAATAAGATTTACCACTAAGACAATATGCAAGGTATTAATTATTGAAGCTGTGCTAGTAATCGGCTTAAACTGTCTCACTGCCATTTGTTTCTCAATAAAATTATTTTAAAAAATAATAATAATAACATTTAACACTCAGTAAGTACTAGGACCAAGTACTTTTTTAGGTACTAGGAATTCAGCAGCAAACAAAACAAGAAAGCCTTTGTCCTTATAGAAATTATATTCTAATGAGGAAAAACAAATAATAAACAAGGAAAATTCAAATAGAAAAAGACCAACAAACTAAGTAATAAAGTACTGAATTATAACCCACAGAATAAACATGCACAAGTCTATACTAACAAATAACTGGATATATAAATACTGAAAAGAAAAGGTTCTTCAACACAGAAGAATTTCAATTAATAAATTAGAGTTAAATGTGGAGGCTTACACCTTTCATCCCAGCACTCAGAGGGTGAGGAAGGAGGACTGCAAGTTCAAGCCCAGGTTGGGCAACTTACTAACTTGGTACGACCTTGTCTCAAAATAAAAAATGTTGGGCTGGGAAGGTAGCTCAGTAGAATAAGCTCCTGCGTGGTAAGCACAAGGTCCTGCATTCAATGCCCAGTACCATAAAACTAAATAAATAAATAAAATAAAATAAATAAAAAATGATTAAAAGGGGAGAGGAGGATGTAGCTTAGTGTAAAGGCCCTGGATTCAACCCCAAATTAATTAATTAACAAATGAAGGTATAAAGACAACTCTGGGCAAATCTAGTAATAAACTATTATAGGCAAGACCCACCAATGAAAGGCAGGCCAAACAGCTCAGTGGATTAGAGCATCTGCAAGCAGGAGCAGGGGCCACAGGTTTGTCCCTGGGGCCTGCCATGCCGGGCCCCACCCCCAGGGTGCACTGAGACGGCAGTTGAGGCGAGGCGTGGTGACGCACCTATAATCCCAGCTCTTAGGAGGCTGTAAATAGGGGAATCACTACGTTTGATCTAGTAGTGAGACCCTAAACACCCTGTAGACCCTTTCCTAAAATACTAAAACAAAACAAAACAAAAAAAGGCCCACCAATGAATGTTACAATTATTCAGTATAAGCTTGAGAAAAGGGACAGAAGCATAATACTGGGTTACAAAAGAAAAATAGTAATTCTGAGTATAAAACTGGGTAGTCACTACCTTAAAATAATCAAGGTTAAGTCACCAGTAATAAGGTATCTGATATTCCCTCTAAGATGACTGAGGACACAATCATAAATGTTAGGTTAAAAAAAAAAAATCTAAAATCTCTGGCAAATAATAATAGTTTTAATCTAATCATTTAAAAAAAAAAAAAGGCCAGATGTGGTGGCACACCCCTGTAATCCCAGAACTTCAGGGGTTCAGGCAGGAGGATTACTGTAAATTCAAGGCCAGCCTGGTCTACAAAGTGAGTCTAAAACTAGCCTGAACAACACAGGGAGACACTGTCTCAAGATAAAAAAATTAAAAAAAAAAAAAAAAAAAGACATACCAAACCGAGAGACATCCTACCAAACAACTAGCCAGTACTTAACAAAAAAATGTCAAGATCAAGACAGCCATGGTAGTGCATGCTTGTAATCCCTGCTACTTCTGAGGCTGAGGCAGGAGGATCATAAGTTCAAGATTAGCCTGGGCCACTTAGTGAGATACTATCTCAAAAGATAAGGGAAAAAAAAAAAGGTAAAAGGGCGCTGGAATGTAGCTCAGCACCGGAATGCTTCCCTACTATGCATAAGCCCCTATGTTCAAATTAGGGGGGCAAAAGATCGCAAATACCATGAGAGAAAGAGGAGTTTTCAGATCAAAGGAGATTAAGGAGGAAAACAAATAAATACAATGTGAGACCATAGATTAAATCCTGAAGCAAAAAAGATGTTGTGGGAAAAATGGGTAAAATAAGGTCTAGTCTATAGTGAGTGGTGGGTATTATGAAAGGTCTTTGTTCCGCTTCACATTTTTTTGTTACTGTCTTTTTGAGACTCAGTCATTGGCTCTGCTGCATTAGAGAATAGAATTATGAGTGAATTTTGCACCAAAAATTTCAAATAAGGTTTTAACAATAAATAATATTTTCTTCTTGAGGCTGGAGGCGTAGTTTAGTTGGTAGAGTACATGCCTAACATATACAAGGCCCTGTGGTCAATCCTCAGTACCAAAACCAAATAAATATAAGACAGACTTCCTTATATAAGGTACAACATGCATCTACTCTATGATCTTGCATATTCACTTCCAAGTATTTACCCAAGAATTTAAAAAAAAGTATGTCCATGGTATATGAAATTTAAAATTATTATGCTGACCAAAAGAGCCAGTCACAGCTGGCAAGATAGCTTAGCAGACTAAGTGCCTGCTTAAGCAAGCACAGGGACTGGGGTTCAATCCCCAGCCAGGCGTGGTGGCACACACCTGTAATCCCAGCACTGGCGAGGCTGAAAACAGGAGGATCACTATGAGTCCAAGCTGAAGTAGTGAGACCCTGTACTAAAAACATTTAAAAAAAAAAAAAAAGAGCCAAAGAGTATGTACTTTATGAATCCATTTATGTAACAAAAACTATGCTAAAATCTTCCAACAATGTTTGTGATAGTCAGAAGACTGACTAGAAAGAGATAAACAAGGACTTCCTGGGATTAGACAATAAACATATTCTGTATCTTCATCAGAATGACAGTGACTATCTATCTATGTCAAAGGGGACCAAGCTACACATCTTATTATGTATTGTATTATATGTAAATTACGACTAAGTGTAAGATCTTCAAGATTCATCCATGGTGTAGCATGTGCCCAAGATTTCCTTCAGTTACTTCTTTTAACCACCAATACTGACATTTTACTTAGATAGTTAATTATTACTTAGATTACTTGCTACTTTAATCAAATGAGATCTTGTACCACACCCTTCCATCAGTTAGTCTTTCTTTTAAACTAAGTGAAATAAGCCACTTACAAAAGCACAAATGGGGCTGGTGAGATGGCTCAGTGGTCTAAAGCACCCACTTAGAACAAGCTAAGCTTAAGCAAAGCACAGGGACCACGGTTCAATCCCCCAGCACCACATGCCAGCCAGCCCCGCCCCCTGGTGGGCTGAGCTGGCCACACACACACAAAATAAATAAATTAATTAATTAAAAAAAAAAAGCACAAATGCTGTGCGATTCCACTTATATGATGTGCCTATAAAATTCACATCCATAGATATAAAAAGTAGAATGTGGTTGTCAGAGACTAAAGGGAGGGAGGGAGAAGGAATAGTGAGTACAGGGTTGTCAGGTTAAGAAGATAAAATAAAAGATGGATGGTGGTAACAGTTTTACAACAACGAGAATATGCTTAACAGCAATGCACTGTGCATTTAAAAGTGGTTAAAATGTAAATTTTGTTATTAAAAAAAGCTGGGGCTGAGGGTATACTAAGTGGCAGCAAATGTGTACTTAACATGCACAAGGTTCAATTCCCAGGAACAACAAAAAAAAGCTAAACATTTTAAAAATCTCATTATCTTACTACTTAGACCAAAAGAATGTAAAGATCTGCTTAGTTTGCATTCTTGGAAAGAACCCATCATTCCTTTCCTTTTTTGCGGAGGGGGGGGAGTGTTTGTTTTTTGTTTTTTTTTTTTTTTTTTTTTTTTTTTTTTTCTTTAGCTGAGGTTTATTTTTGGTCTTGGTGCCAGGGACAGAACCCAGGGCTTCCAGCCTGCTAGGCAAGTGTTCTACTCCTGAGCTAAAACCCCAGTCCCAGTCATTCCTTTCCAAATTATTCTGGGTATAAGCCAAAAGAAAACAGCCTCTACACTTTTGCCTCATTTTATTTTAAATCTTACATCTATTAAGCTGTCATTACAAAAATCTATGTTTGTTTCCCTCACAAAAATTGTCCTCATTCATTTTAGGGTTACTTTTTTCTTGTGGTGTGGTATGGTGTGGTGTGGTGTGAGGTGGTGTGGTTTGATTTGGAAGGGTTTATTGAAACAGGGTCTCACTTTGTAGTGCAGGCTGGCCTTGAACCCACTATGTAGCCCAGACAGGCCTTGAACTTAGAGTGGTATTCCTACCTCAGTCCCCTATGTAACAGGCATATGCCACCACACCCAGCTTGGTTGCAGATGATCTTGAAAAACCGAATAAAAGCCCCTGACAACAAAAAGCTCCCTTGTCTAGTTCATGTTGGGCTCTCAAAGTTTAAATTTTCAGAGGAACAAAGAAACTCATAGGATTGAATTACAGTCAGAATAGGAACTCAAGGGTCACAAGCAAGTCAGATAGAAGGGTAGAAGCTTCAGCTCACCTTCCATGGAAACATCTCACCCTGCTCCACAACACCTCAAGGCTATCAGTTGTAAGGAGGAGCAGAAGCTGGAGATCAATCACACATGCAGGGCTGGAGCAAGGCCAGTCCAGAGAGCAAAGAGCAGCAGCCATGTGAACAAGCTGCTCCAGCTCCAAAAACATGGAGAGTGCAAGGCAATCCAAGCAAATAGGTTGCTAGGCAGAGGGGTGTCATGTGACATCAACCTGCTGAGTGTATACAGAAATGCACCTCAGTCTTTGAACAGTCCTTTTTCTCCACCTGACCTCAGCTTTCTATATTCTGACTCTTGTCTTTTACTTCCTCATCCTTTCCCATTCTTCACTCTGAAAACTTTGAGAGCTGCACTGGACTCAGCAATCAGTACACTCAACAAGCCCAGGCTGATCACCTGCACAAAAGCAAGAAGCACTAGCACTACTCACAAGGCTTACCTCATGCAAGGAATGGCATGGTAGCCCAATCGAAAGCGGAGCTTGCTGGATGGAGCAAAATCCGCAATCACCTTTTCTCCCACAGTGTGCATATGTTTGAGGAGTTCAAGATGTTCTCTAGTCACAGCTTTCAGACTGGAAATGGAGGCCCATGGTAATACCAGCCAGTGGTAACGGGCCTTAGGGTACTTATCCTTAATCACCACAACCTTCTCATCTTTGCAAACCTACCACAGGGCACAAGAAAAAAGGAAACAACTAAGAATCTTCCGTGTTCCAGGTGCTGCCGTATTCATTAAGTTACTCACTTCCCCTCAACAACCTCATATGCAAAATTTTAGTATCCCAATTTTAAGAGATGAGAGCACTGTGAATACCCAATACAAGGCACATAATTACTAAGTAGAAAAATCTAGCATTTCAGCTCAGATCAAGTAGATTCTAAACTGTTTTCAACCACCACACTGTATAGAATGAATATACATACGATGCATGGTACAAAACAGTGCTCATAGATCTGATGTTAGAAACCAGCAAGAAAACTGGGAATTTAACTCAGTGGCACAGCACCTGGCTGGAAAGCAGGAGGTCCTGAGTTTGATTCTCAGTACAAAAAAAAAAAAAAAAAACCACACAGGAAGCCACGCATGGTGTTACATGCTTGTAATACAAGCCACTCAAGAAGCTGAACAGGAACTCAAGTTGGAGGCTAGCCTGGAGAACTGAGCAAAAGTCTATCTCAAAATAAAATAAAAAGAGCTGGGTGTGTAGTTCAGTGGTAGAATATTTGCCTACCATGCACAAGGCCCTGAGTTCAAGTCCCAGTACTAAAAAAGAAATCTCTGAGGAATGAATTCAAACACATCCATTCCAACATATCAGACCATGTGACATATGTGCATGAGTTCTGAACAGCCTTACTGTAATGTACTGGCCCCTTGTCAACCTGATGTAACTGAAACAGATCTCGAAGGCTCTGCCAAGCAGGTCATATTAGTGCTAGGACAGTGCTACCCTATAGTCACAATACAATATCTGATGCTCCTTTAAAAGGAATCATGTAGAAGTGGTTGTACTAAGACTCTCCATCAGTTTTTTTGAAAATAGTAGTTAATGTAAAGAATTCTCACCTTGGCTAACTCTGTATGCCGATATCTGCAATCTAAGCAACTACAACAAGGACAGCAATGTGTAAATACAGAAACCATGCTTGAATACCTGTCATCTTGATCTCAGTCTAAATGTGTACCATTTCTAATATATCAATTATTACCATACTCTCTTTAAAATAAATTTTTAAAAAAGGTAAAAAAAGAAAAAAGACAAAAACAAAAATTTAAGGTTTCTTGAAAGTAAGCGGCAATATTCAGTCTTAGTCCAATCTTACATAACTGTATCTGTTAGTCTCAGCAACAGATTTGGTGATAAAATGATAACATATCAACCATTGTTAATCAGCTATTCTTGTTTTGAAAATCTGTAACATACATATTGTTGTATGTTACCCTGTTTCTGTCTTTGTTTCTTTATCTTTTTTTTCTGTCTTCATTTCTGATTTTTGTTTTTGCTTTTGTTTTTATACTTCAAAATAAAATTTAAAAAAAAATAGAGAGAGAGAGAGAAAGTGGGATATTCTTTTAAAGAACTTAGCTTCTCTCCAGTTGCTATCTTATTGATAAAGGGAAAAACCACTGGTTTCCCAGAAATATGCCAGTAAAATAAATCTCACTTAGAGGGACTGATAGCTTTTAATTTCATTTATAATCATGGTCTCTGTGGGTGGTCCCAAAATTTTATTCTGACCTGCATTTTGGGGTCCTGCATAGAAATCTTCAAGCCTTGACTCCAGTGGCCCAGTGATTCCTAAACAACAACAAAAAAGGCAATGTAAATTTTAATATGGCAATAATTAAATCTGTTATTAGGTAATACTATGTGACAGCAAAGCCCAAACTAACTGGAAAGTAAAGTTAGATTTTGAGAAATAAACTAGACCTCCTTTTCTTCATTCTGGAATCATAAGCCATCATCACAGGTTTCCTATATTCACAACTGGGCACCTAGACAGAGGTCAGAAATGTCAGAGAGCAAGTCGCATCTTCTTTGTGGCTCTCACTCCCCAATCTGAACAAGCTGCCACTTTAACATCAGCACATGACTCTCATGATATATGGAAAGCATTCCAATGCAAACCTTCTAGATACATAAACAACTAACCCATTTTACTTGCTCAATGTTAAGTACACTGCCATTACTGTCCTACCTTCCTTCAAGTGTCCTACCTCAAACTCAAAATAAAAGCATATAAAAGGACAAGCACCCAAATTTTCATGCCATAAACAAGTGACTCTTTAATTATGGTTAATAACACTTATGACTAGTAACCCCCAATATGTGCCTGGGTTTTACAGTGTACAAAACAATTAAGCAATCATTTTATCTCATTTAACCACATCATCTGTCAATCACAGTTCCCTCACCTTTTTGGTAGATGCATCTTTCTCTTTCTTTGGGGGCACAGAGCATTGGCTCAGACTGCTCCTAGGCTCTGGCCCTGTCCCAGAGGCAGCAACCTGAGCAGTATCCCTTTCTATAGAATCACTGCTGCTTGACCTCTTTCTCTTCCTATGTGTTTCTAGGCCAGGGCTCTTGGTCTCTTCCTCAAATTCTATAATATATGGATAAAGTTCATTCACCATGTGGAGAACCTGGCCAGGCTGCAGTTTCATCTCTTGGTCCTTCCCAATTATGACTGAGTCAATGCTGGTAGGATTGACCCCTACCTATGGAATAATCAGAAAATAATTACAGTAATAGCAATAATACAGTAGTAATATAGCTGCCAATATGTCAACCAGTTACTGTGTGTCAAGCACTGTGCTTAATGTTCATCTATATTATTCAATCATTTCCACACATGGCAGAGAAGCCTTTATTGGCTAGCAGACATTCTAGGATTCTTTTTTTTTGGCTGGTTCAGGCTGCCTTAAGGGCGGGTCTGGTGGGGCATGTGGTACTGGGGATCGAACCACAGTCCTTTGCCCCTGATTGATTTTGCTCAAGAAGGTGCTTTAGACAACTGAGCTAACCTTAGCACAGACATTCTAAAGGCAGCACCACAACAAATCATCAAGTACAAAAAGGAAATTCAAGTTACCCACATACCTGCTTCACTTTGACATATCCCTTGTTACACTCTGCTTTCAACTGTACTGAAAGAGATTGAAAAAATTTAATCACAAATGCAACAAAAGGCAGACATTTGGTCTTGTATTCCTGAAGGGAAAATGAAGCTATACAGATCATTCCTCAAAGACCTAAAAGCAACTGCCTGATAGCAGGTAGCTAGGGCTCCAAATCCCATTTTGTAAGCGTTCCAAATACTTCCATTGAAATATTCATCAGCATATGTACTCCCTTAGCTATTGCTAATATCCTCAAGTTCTCCTCTTGCAGAACTCCTAGCCCACTTAGGATTATAGACTCTCAACGGGAGAGTGGAAGCTCTTGGTTCAGAAATAAATCAGGTTTAAAAAAAAAAAAAAAATCAAGCTGGATGTATTGAGGTATCACTGTAGTGCCAGCAACTAGCAAAGCTGAGAAATGATCAGAACCCAGGAGTTCAAGACCAGCCAGGGCAAAACAGCAAGACCTTGTTCCAAAACAAAAACATAATCAACTATCACATGCTTTCAACAGAAAAAGAGGTAAAACATATTCCTGGAAAACAGAAGGTCAACTGGTCTTGAGTGGAAGGAATGGAAAGAATGCTCTAGAAGAAGAATGCAGAGACAACATTCTAAGCATGTGTGAGAAGAGGTAACATTATTAGGCACTTCTGTTCAGATAAGAGAACAAACTATGTAGGGTTGATCCAAGGAGGAAGAGAAGACACCACTGCTGTGCACCAGGGAGGACAGACAGAGGGCAGGCTGGCACATGTCCCTACTGTTGCTACAGTACGAGGGGACCAAGGGGAGTGGTGGTGGCTTCTATGTCTTCAGCCTTTCCAGGTCAAACATAGCTTTTTTTTTTTTTTTCTTCTTCCACTTGGACTAATTCACACAGGTACATCCATAAACAGTACTAAACACTCTAACTCCAGAATCCTCAGAGCTATGGAATCACACTATAAGTGACAATAAACATGCCCAAAGGTCACACAAAAAAATGAAGCACCATACACAGTAAGCCTCATGAAAGGGAATAGTTGGATGCCATAGTGCAATAAAGATATTACTCTCTGTGAGAAGCAATGTGTAAAGAATGTACCAGCCCACTGCTCCTCAGACATGGCTTCAGTCTAGAAACTCCAGAATTTATCAGTTTTGCTGCCCAATAAGCAATCTCCCTGGGCAAAGCAAAGCAAGCTACAGGTCTCAACTCCACCACTCCATTGTAATAGGATGTAAGCTGCCTGCTCCCAACAATTGCCCGAGCCTGCCCCAAATGGGAAGACAGAATCAGGAATAAATGAGGCTCTAGTAGAACAAATGAGGTCCTACTACTAAAAGACTGACTTCTTGCATTTGAGGCTTTTTTTTTTTTTTTTGTAAAAGCTTTTCTCCTTCAAAAGCACCTGGGAAATGTGTATATTTGGTTATCTTCCAGAATCAAACATGGTAATCTCTACATTCTTATAACCAGTTACCTTGCTGTCGAGAACACTTCTTATCCGTGATCTTGGTCTCTGGGCCTCGCCCAATCACAATTGCTTCTGAATGTGGAAGTTTGATTCGCTGGTGTCTACTGTCCTGTCTCACCAACCAGCACACCCGCATCATCATTCTGAAAGACAAAACAAGGAAATGCTGGAAAAACAAATCCATTAGCACATCCTCTAGGGCTATGCTTCCAGCAGCACCACGTATGTAATTGCCACCACTACTCACCCTGAGGCAGGTGACTTCACCTCCTTAGTCTCAATTTCCTAACCTATAAATCTGATAATGACAGGCCTCAAAGCTGCTATGAGGACTAAATGAGATAATATGGATACATATTTAGCTCCCTGACTGAATCATGCTAAGCAATCAAATATTTGTTACACATATGTTGATATACTCTATGTACTGGACATTAGTCTACATGCTGAGTCTCCCAGGGATAAATAAAATATTGTCCCTGAACTTGAGGAATTTGGAGCATAGAACAGCAAGAGAAATTCAGATACCAATTATTACAATATAAGCACTATTAAGAAGAGAGTAACAAAGTATGGGATTAACCCAGTAACTAATACCACTTGAGAAAAGAATTTTAAAAGATTTCATAGGGAAAGGTATTTATGCAGGATTGGGTGAACTGGGTTGGACTAGGTTGGGTTAGGTTTGACTTGGCTTCCTTTGCTTTAGTTTGAGACAAGGCTATATACTTCAGCCTGGCCTCAAATTCACTATGTAACTTAGGCTGGCCTCTAACTCATGCCAATCCTCTTGTCTCAGCCTCCCCAGGTTCACAGGCACATGTCACCACTCCAGCATTATGGAAGGTTTTAAAATGTGAGTTTACCTGCCAGAGAATTAGGATGTAAGAATAAAGATGTTTATTCAGTTCTTAGGTGGCTTTGTGCTTGTATTAGGTTTTCCTTTTTTTAATGTACTTAGTACAGGGTCTACAGGGTCTCACTACATAGCTCAGACTCATAGTTATTCTCCTGTTTTCAACCTCTCAAGGGCTGGGATTACAGGCGTGTGCCACCACCCAGTCTCAATCACCATTTCAGGGCATCCCAGGGGGAGGGGCCAGCATGGCAGGCAGGCAATCAAACCCCAGCCTCTGTGCTCTGCCTAACTAGGCACTTTAGTCTGCTGAGCTATCTGGCTGGCCCAGGTTTTCCTTTCTTAATGGAAATAATATGCTTGTTAGAACAATACATTTTACTCCCATCTGCCATAATAAATATGCAAATCTACAATTTCTCATCTGTGATTATAACACCTTTGTGCAAAATACAATATGCACAACAGTGGAAATGTTGATCTGCAGAGTGTGTGTGTGTGTGTGTGTGTGTGTGTGTGGTCCTGGGGTTCAATCCCAAGGCCTTGTGCATGAAAAGCAACAGCTCTATCAATATGCCACATTCCCACTCCACTGATGTGCTCTTGAAAAACAATCTTTATTGATATAAAGTACCACAACAGAGTACCACAAGAGAAAGAAATAGAAGGTTTAGAGAAGAGATGAGGCCTGAACCTTAAAAACAGGAGCAAAGTGGATGGAAAGGAAAAAGAGCCAAGAGAAATCTAGACAATAGATTGAACTTCTCATGGCATTTGAGGAATGACAAAGGATTAAAGGGAGACTCCAAGCAAAGATTTCTAATTTTCTAATTTCTAACAAAGGTTAATAGGTTTCTAAAGACACCTATTGACCAAAATGAAAAATATACAAAACTAAAAAAAAAAATGAATATGAAGGTAGACATACTTTATGGATAGCAGTAAAGATCAGTTTCATTGAAACATAATTAGTTTAAATTATTTGTGGAAGAATCAAGAGTCAATCTGAAATAAAGTCAACCTGGGGTATAGGTATGAAGGTCAGGAGAAAGGAATGAACTGAACATACATATTTGAGAGGTATCAATATGTCATAGAAGCTGAGGCAAGGAGAGGATAAAAAGAATTATCCTCTTACCCAAGAAGATGGAAAAGGTAATTACTGTAGGAGCAAGAAGGGCAATAGATCTTTAAAGTGACTCGCTATCAATGCTCAGGTTTCCAACACCCTATTACGGCTTATATCCAGACGTTCCTCAACCCCTCATGTACTCATCAGTGAAGCTTTGAGGAGTAACTGGATCATGAGTGTGTGGTATTAGATCAGTCCACTGATTGGTTTAGCACAGTTCTAGGCAAGGGTGACAAATTTATTAAGGAGGGAAAACACATCCTGGTTGTGGGTGGCACCAACCAATAGGCTTGTAGCCTGGATGGAAAAAAAAAGGGAAGGAAGGAAAAGGGGACGCTGCCTCCTGCTTATTGTGTCATTAATTCTTTCTCTCCTGGCATGCACCTTGGCCATGCCATTCTGCCTTCAAGCCAGTTGACAATGAACTAAAACCATTATAAACTGTGAGCTAAAACAAATCCTTCCTCTTTTAACATGTAGGTATCAGGTGTTTCGTCTCAGCAATGAGGACGCAACTAAGACACCCTCTCTGGAAAATTCTGCCTACAAGTCAAGACAACGTCTATGCCCTCTGTATAGGCTTTGTGTTCATAAACAAAGCAGAAAACATATTTTTTAAAAGCAGGTTTCATTACTATCTGCAAAGACAAGACTATGTAAAGCAGAGTGAACAGATGAGAGCTAAAGAAAGAGGAACTGTATTATTGTAAGCACACAAAAACTAAAGGCCTGTATTGGTCAAGAAAGGATTCCAGAAACCACACAGAGAGCCAGGGGCCAAGGGAATTGATAAGGAGAGAAAGAGAGTACATTTCATTTTTAAAAGCACAAGTGATAGCACTCAGCAATAGCGAGCCACAGGCCAAGGGTAAAAAGTAGACCTCACTGGCTACAGCAGAGGAGCTGCCCCACATTCTACAAAAAGGCTGAAAAATATAAATTCAACATCATCAACAGGAGACAAATGCCAACATTTTGTACTTCAGAATAAGATAAAATAACAGAAGTCAAAGAATACTTTGTCAACAATTCTGTTGGCAGGCTGGAGTGGAAAAAGCTAGTCAGACTGGTCAGAAGGCTGACAACATAACCTAGGTCAAAAGCCCCAAAATCAGCTCAGCAAATCTCTAAGGAGTTGATGCAACAGCACAAAGTCAGCTGCAAACCTAAAATCCTTCACCTACATTCCCATACAATGATGGTGCTACAGATATACCTTAATTTGAAATGCTGTTATGTTCCAAAGGGTACCCATTTGCACTTGCAGGAAATTGATAAATTACCAGGTAATGGACTGGAAAGTGATGTATGTCTTCACTGAGCATTGAAAAATAAGCATGTGGTGACTATTCATGCAGACAATACAAGAAGGCAGAGGAGAGCACAGTTTGAGAGCAGGGACAAGGAGAATTAACAGACAGCTAAGCACATAGCTGGCTACTGCAGGATGGTGGGAACTATTGCAGGAGCCCTCCTGCTCTCCACAGATGCAATACATATTTTATTCTCCCAAGGTTCTGAAGTTATGATGTTCCTATTTTCTATTCCAAAAGCTGATGCAATGACTGTACAATGCTTACACAACTATTATGGCCCATTTTAGTCTCCAGACCCAACTTTCAGGAATGAAGTTTTAGGATATGGAGAATGTAGAACAGAGGTTTTTAATCTCCAGTCCAGTTCTTCCACTTAAACTCCATAAACTATAAGCTCTAACAGCAAAGATTGTGCCTATTGTTTCATACTATTTTCAACCAGTTTTGACTTTTGTTTTGTTTTCATTTTTAGAAGGGTGTTGCTATGTAGTTTAGGCTGGCCTTGAACTCACTATGAAGCCCAGACTGGCCTCAAACTCAGTAACTGTCCTGTCTCAGCCTCCTGAATGCTGGGATTCTAGGTGTGTACCACCATGCTTGGTTTTCATGCCTATTTTTTGTTTATCAACATATCATCAGTATTTAATACTATGTTTGGCATACAGCAAGGATAAATATTTGTAAATGAATCATCAATTAATCCCTTTTAAGTATTCTCATTTTTCTCTACTCTCCCCTTCTCTTTTCTTCCCTCATATGGAATTCCCCAGAAAACTTCAGGATTATCATCCTCTGTTTTTCAGCTCCATACCTTTCACTGTAGAGCTGTGGGGATTGGCCAAACAGAAATTCTGAGCCAGGCACAGCATTGCAGACCTGTAATATCAGGACTTGAAAGGCTGAGACAAAAGGATTGGCATAAGTTTGAAGGCAACCTGGGCTACAAAGTGATTTCAAGGCCAACTGAACTACATAATGAGAGCCTATTTCAAAGAACCCACGTGATGTAACAGGCCACATAAGGCCAGAAATCTTATATCCTAGAACACTGCTCTTCAACTGAATTTCCTACAAGGATAGCAATGTTCTAAACCTGCTCATATAAGTAAATTAGTCCCAATGTGACAATGGATCATATAAAATAGTTAGTACAAAAGAGAAACTGACCTTTTATGTTAGGTTATTGTTTGTTTTGTCCACTTAAAGTAACATAACTACATGTGGCTGGGGCCTGCCCATCACATCTAGCATAGCCTAGAAACTTGTCCAGCCTCAATCAATCCCCAAATTCCTCAGGCTTGAACACTCTCAGATTCTAACCTGCCAGAGGTTACTTGTTTCACTTCCCTCTCTTTTTATACAGAAGTAGCTCCACTTACCCATTCTTCTGTTTCCTGCCCCCAGGCGTACAGATATCCTTGCATGTATACACATCCTTCAGGTACATACTGAATCAGGTCTGCCAGTGAAATAATTATTTACTTTTATTTGTGTTTCTCTTCTGGCAGAGTGGGGATTAAACGGAGAGCTTTCACATTAAGCTACATTCCCAGGTGTTTGTTGTTGTTGTTGTTGTTGTTGTTGCTGTTTGTTTGGTTTTGGTTTTGTTGTTTTGTTTTTGGGTTGTTTTTTGTTTGTTTGTTTGCAGAACCAGGGATTGAACTCAGGCCTTTGCACTTGCCAGGGAAGCGCTTATTCTACTGAGCCATCTCCCCTGCCTTGGTTTTTTTTCTTTTCTTTTTTTTTTTTTTTTTCTTTCATGTTTTGGGTTTAAGAAATGGGCTCACAAAATTACTTTGGCTGGGCTCAAACTTGTGATAGTCCTGCCTACACCACCCAGAGTGATGGGATTACAGGCATGCACCACCATACCCAGTTAAATCATTTTTAATTTGGTCTCCTGGTATTGGCTTACAGTCTTTCCTCCTTTCGAAAAATCCACATCTTCGTCAACTTTCAAGTTTCACCTCCTCCTGGAGGCTTTCACTGAGCCATCTTCTGTACATCTTGTTATTAGAT